GAGTGTTTTAGTTTATCTGCTGAGAGTGCTGCCCTTCAGGAATCCTGGCTTTCTGTAGAGGTCACCATCCAGAACTCGCATCCTTCTTGAAGCTTCGAATTTTCTCTTGTCTATGACAATAGCCATTTTAACAGGTCCTGGAGGCCCCACAGGAGCGGCCACTCAGCTTCCCTCACTGCTCACTGTTGACTTCGCTGGCTACTTCTGGCAAGAGGACCAGGGTAAATTGCTCGATTTTAAGTAAAACAGGGTTAGCCTAAGCTGTTCATCTTATAAAGAGAAAGCATCTCCACTTGTTTTCTACCTGCCCTTCCCTTTCTCACCTCCTCCAGGTGCCACATCCCTCTCAAATATGCATAGCTTGTACCCAAAGTGCTCCTCCAGCACCCTGGGCAGGACCTCCACGGCGAAGGCACGCTCCTGCTCCTCCCCGTGTGCAGGTCCGCATCCCTTCAGGTAGGACACAAAGGCGTCGTATGTCTTCCCATCTAGGAGGTAAGGTTTGCTCCTTTAATTTGTGTGGAAATAAAAGTTTAAGTTCAAATTTGAATGAAAGTCACTAAAAACGAACATGGAATTATTGAAAAAGAAAAGTTAAATATGGCATCCTTGTGTCCACACACATCAAATTGTAGAGATTAAATATGCGCAGGTCTTTGTATGTTAATTATGCCTCAATGAAGCTGTTAAAAAAATAAGAAAATACTTTTGATAGAAAACAAATTGAAAAAACAAAATAAGACTGTTTGGGTTAATCCCTAAAGTCCCTACATAGTCTTTGGTTTTATTATTCTTTTTTATGCATTATTCTTTATCTCTGGATTTTTTTTAAAATATATTTTATTGATTTTTTACAGAGAGGAAGGGAGAGAGATAGAGAGCTAGAAACATCGATGAGAGAGACATCGATCAGCTGCCTCCTGCACATCTCCTACTGGGGATGTGCCCGCAACCCAGGTACATGCCCTTGACCGGAATCGAACCTGGGACCTTTCAGTCCGCAGGCCGACGCTCTATCCACTGAGCCAAACCGGTTTCGGCTATCTCTGGATTTTTAAATGTCAATAAACAATGATTATATTCAATTATCATTTAAAAAATAGCATCCTCAAAGCTCATATGATAATCGAGCAATCAATTAGGAGGTGTTCTTACTTTTAAGCATGTGCATTAAGACTCCCGCTGTTTGACATCAACAAGGCGTAGAGAGAAACGTATGTCACAGGTCAGAGAAATCACAGAGTTTAAAGGTAGCAGAGGACCAAGTAGCCCAAATGCTCATATGTCCTGGGCCCAGGATTAGAAAGTACATGTCACCTCAGCTCATTCCACCTCAATCATCTAATCCCATAACCATCCCATGTCCACCTTCAGGACAGCCCCCGGGAAGCGGAGATGCAATTGGTTGTTACAAAATAGTCCTGGGATGTGAAGTACAGCCTGGGGAATAGAGGCAATAGTATTGTGTTCACTATGTGTGGTGCCAGGTGGGTACCTGAAATGTCAGGGGGATCACTTTGTAAAGCATGTGATTGTCTAACCACGATGGTGTGCACATGAAACCAATATAATCTCATATTGAATATAAACTGTGATTGAAAAATAAAATTTAAATTAAAAAATACAATGCTGAGTGTCTACACGGGAGAGTGGGAGGAAACAGTAGAGGCAATTGAAACAGTGTGCCATAGAAAACATGCTATGGCATGGTAAATTTTATATAATGCTAAAGGCCAGTAGGTGGAAAGGTTTGCATTAATACAACTGCTCCTGTTTTATTCCTAACAATGAAGCAATATTGCGTATTCAGATGACTAAAGACACATTCAAGAGGAATGTGTTACCTAAAAACTAAGACCATTCTACTAACTGCTTTACTAAAAATTTATTTATGTTTCTTTCTTCTACCTTTATCCATTCTGCTAGAGACAAGTTCACAGACAAATGCAACTTGAAAAGTTTACAAATAATGCATTGGCAGACACAACAAAGTGTAGCACAAACAAAACAAAAAAATAATCTGGTCAGAGAACGCGGAGTCACCGTGGGCATGTGTTCTGAAAGGACATGTGTTCTAAATAACATATGCATGCGAGGGGCTCGGGGGGGCCCCCTCCATCCTTATCCCAGGGCAACTGGTTAGCTGATGGAGGAGTTAGATGTATGTTTGGGTCTAGGATTGGGATTGATGAATTTGCTTCTGAGTTGAAGTCTAAATATTATTAGCTCCTTTATTAAAATTGAATAGGACGAAACCATCTGGGCCCACATTCTTTGTGGCACCACAGCACCCGTGCTCAACAGCTGGGCCCCATTCTTTCACAGCATCCAGGTTCACAAAGAAACAGTTTCTGGCAAAAGCTGCTTCAGTCCCACCTACAGCCTCTTGTCCTGCATTTTGAGTCAGAACCCACCGTGGGTGTATCGTAAAGCAATTGCTCTTCAGAATTACGTGCATGTGAATGACAGGACATTTTCATCAAAACTGCAAAATGATCATGCTTATCAAAGACAGGTTAAAAGTTGGTAACAAGAAAGCCAGTTGTTAATATAAGTACGTGGTCCTGGATCGTCTTGTCAGCTTGTCATGAAATACAGCTGTTACTGGTGTTAGGATAAGAGCTAGTGCTCCCATCAGAGCAGTCATCATGCCAGTGAGTGAAACAGGCACCAAGATGCAAGAAATGAATGAGTACACCTTTGCCAACGTGTATTTTTCTCATAATCAGAATGTACCTAATTGCAATAAATTGGAAAGGTAAATCAGTCGAATTTACATAGTGATATACATGTGACATAGCTTTCAAACTCATTTTTAGGCACCTCTTTTCTTGGTTTAGCAAATTACTAATCTATATTATAATTTATTTTTCAACCCAAGGAATGAAAGTTTTGGTGGCTGTAATAACTGAGAAATAAAGGAAGTGCCCAAGCTAAGTAATTTAAAGCTGATAATTTTGTTCTGCATAAATGAAACCAACATGTGAATGGATATTTGGGGCTACAAAGAGTCAGAACATGCTTCTTAGACAAACTCTGGTGGCAAGTGGCCATGTTTTAACTCAAGCTTAGTTTTTGTTGTTGTTGATTGGTTTCTTTCATTTCCAACTATTCATAAACCAATAACTGAACACAGTCTTGGGTGGTGCAGCAATATAAACCTGCTGTATGTAAAAGTCTTAATTTTTGCACTCATTTCTTCATTTTTACTTTTTCATGACTTCTCTCTGTCCATGGACCACACTCTTAGCAGAGCTGCTGTGGAGACATCTCTGTCTCCAGGCACCGCCACCCAGGGCGCTAAGAAGTGTGAGTTCTCCGTGCTCAGCAACACTTAAAAAAGTGTCTGTGCATTGGGTCAAACACAACTGGAGGGTAAATAACATCTCAGTTAAAAATCAGAAAGAGATATTAGTGAATGTCCATTCTGAGGTATGTACTGGTCTATGCATGTAGAGACCTGGCAATAAAATATCAAATACAGACCTTCAGCCCCGGCTCAATTGGTTGGAGTGTCATCCATGCACCAAAAGGTTGTGGGTTCGATCCCCAGTTGGGGTGAGTACGGGAGGCAATGGATTGATGTTTCTGTCTCTCATCAATGATTCTCTCTCATCAATAAAAACACATTCTTGGGTAAGGATTAAAAAAATAAAAACAGACACCCCCCCGCCCTAGTTTGTTGGAGCATCTCTCTCCATGGCAAAATCACACACACATGAAGATTCCAAGCTAAATTAATTAACTTTGCTAATTTTGTATCATTAAATTAAAAGATGTAAATGTGAATAATCAATCTTTAAAAATCTCAAAAAATATAAGAATTCCTTTATAACTAGAGCTTAGGAGGGTCTTTCTACTGTGACCACAAATCCAGTACCATAAAAGAAAAATAAATTTGAATACATTAAAGAATATTCCACATAAACAAAGTCAAAAGACAAATCACAGCCTGGAGACAATATTTGCCTTTCATCTTATAGATAATAGGCTGACATCCTTAAAATAGACATTGCTCCTAGAAATAAGCGAGAAAAGCAAAGCAAACAACCCAATTAAAAATGGGCAAACGAAAGGAGTGGTCCACTGAGAAAGGAAATACCGTGAGTCTCTAAGAAACGCAAAGCTGCTCCTGCTCCTGCTCCTGCTCCTGCTCCTGCTCCTGCTCCTGCTCCTGCTCCTGTGCAGGAGGTGAAATGCAAACAAAAACCACACTGAGCTACAGCTGTTACCTAGCATTTTGCCCAACACCACAGGTGGTGGTGAGCTGTGGGGAGCAGGTATGGCCTCCTGTGAAGGCAGGAGGTAGTGGAGCAGTAGGGAGGGCAAATTGGCAATATTCTCAAAATAACAACGATGTCTATCCTTTGTATTTCCACCAATTCCACTATGGGGCATTTTCCCTTCAATTATACTGCACACACGTGAAATAATGACAGGACAAAGCCAGCTGTCACATCCTTTATGTAACGACAAAAGGTTATCAACAACCTAATGTCTATCAAAAGGTGACTAAAGCTCTAGCCGGTGTTGCCCAGTGGATAGAGCATCGTCCTGTAGACTGAAGGGTCCTGGGTTTGATTCCGGTCAAGGGCACATGCCCGGGTTGTGAGCTCAGTCCCCGGCAGGGGCATGAAGGAGGCAGCTGACCAATGATTCTCTCTCATCATTGATGTTTCTCTCTCCTTCTCCCTGTCCCTTCTTCTCTGAAATCAATAAAATATATAAAAGGTGACTAAATAAGCAGTGGCACATCCACAGAAATAAACCTCTGCAGGGTTTTATTCTATGGATAAAAAATGAGAGACTTTATAAATTCATATGACAGGATATCCAAAGGAGAGTGAAGCACAGTTCAGAACAGTGTGCATTATACAGCAAGACTTGTTTTTAACAGAAGTAGAACAAGAGTCATACTTGCTTAGATATACTCTCGGTGCCGGTGAGGTGGAAGCACAGGTAGGCTGAGAAATTTCTGTACAATTTCTTAGACTGTGCTTTGAAATATGTGTGTCCTACACACATTCTAGTACATACACATGCACACACTTGTGCACACAAACACACATGAAAACAAAAGCAAGTAGAATGGATTAGACTGACTTTTTAATTCAGTAATTATATGGAACCTAGAGGACTTCTCGCTGCCCTTAAACATAGGGGAACCAAGACAGCGTCCCCAGATAGAAACAGTAGGAAAACCTGGCAGCCCCTCAGGCACACCATGCTGCCTCCTTTGCAGGTTAGAATACAGAGCCATTATCCAATTCAAATCAATGTAAATGATCTTTATTGAGTGACTGCTCTGCATAAGGTGCCTAGATGGTGTGCAAACAATGACGTTGAGTCCCTAAGAGCAAGCATCTCAAAGGGGTTTTAGGAGGACACGCATACGTACATACAGGAAACAGTTAGAGGGCAATCTTGGGCAACATCTAAGTACAAAAGAAGGTGGCACAGACAAGATGCATAATAATGATACATTCAGAGCAATTTTAACCTCTGGAAACCCCTACCACACATTAAGTCACCAACGTAATGTAAATAAAATGAAGATTAATGTTTCTTTATCAGGTTTCCTAATAAAACTATAGGATAAGAAGTCCCAACATTCCGGCATTCGTTACCTGTTAATGTTTCATCTCTTCCCATGAAATGTCTATAAAATAGAGCCAAGTCAATTCTATAAATAACACCCGCAATCACTAGGCACACGATTCCCCCTGAGATCACGAGAGCTGTGACCATTCCCCTCGTGAACACATGGCCTGGGATATCGCCCCGACCTGGAAAGAAGGAGAGAACGGGAGTGATCAGTCACGGACGTGGTGCCGCTGTTCCCCACCATCATTCTGGGATGTCAGTGTTCGCCATGAATACTAACCAGCTGCCTGCCCAGCACGGCCCACCGAGCTGCTCCACATCCCTGCCTTTCGTTTGGAGCAGTGATTTTTCTGCTCCCATTTTTAACAAATTAAAATGTGTGCAAGGTATTCAGAGACCTGAACTGAAAGCATGTAAAGTCGTCTATCCCTGTCGGTGGAAGGCGGGCCTCTCGGGGTCTAAGATGCTGGGTGGAACACACAAATCTCTGGCCGCGGCTGTGAACACAGATGGAGGCGAGTCCTGGGAGAGCAAACACTAGCTAGACGATCTGGGCTGTCACCGGTTTTGTGTCCTAGGAAGTGTCACCGGTGCTGCCCTTAACGCTTAGTCCCTTAAGCTGCAATCGAAGCTAACGACACGGTGCTTCACTCACGGGGCTGCCCCTGAGGGGCAGGTTCGGTGAGACCTTGCACCTCAGGAGCTGAGACCGCATCTGGCACATATTCCTACGGATGTTAGCGCACTTTCTATAAAGCCCCCTTTGGGGAAAAGTACATTTCTTAGATTGATTCAGTTCATGCTCAATATGGAAAATGCAAAATAGTACAAAAGAGTGAAAACTATAAAACAATTTTTAACAACCATTCCACAATGTGGTGATGGGCATGCTAACATGCTAGTATATTTTGTTTTAGATTTTTATTTTCCCTAAAAATATTGACTTAATTGGGGTCATAGGGTAATCACTCTTTCTTGTATTACACTATATTATGAGCAGTTCGCTAGGTCTTTATAGGTATAATTCATAATATGCCAATATTTAGATTGATTGTAATGTTTATAAATATACCAATGCTTCAATGAGCAGATGCACAAGCCTTTATGCTTGTGCTTGATGATTCTGCTCGAGCAGGTTCTAAACGCTGAGGGATTTCCAGATCAAAGAGCAGAAATGCATAAAGCTCTTGACATCTTGGCACAAGTGTTAGGGATGATCTTTCCAGTAAAATTGACTACTAGGATGTAAGTAAGCGGCCACATTTGCTAACTAAGTGAACTCCGAGTAAAGCCAGTCTCTGAGGCTCCTGGACTGTGAAAGGCCTGCCTGTCTGTGACTGTGCCACGTGCACATGCGCGCGCACACACGTTCACACGGGCACGTGCACACACACATTCGCACGGGCGCACACACACATTCGCATGGGCGCACACACACATTCGCATGGGCCCACACAGACATTCGCACGGGCGCACACAAACATTCGTACGGGCACACACACACATTTGAATGGGCGCACACACACGTTCACATGGGCGCGCGCGCACACACACATCCGCACGGGTGCACACACACGTTCACACGGGCGCACACACACACACATTCGCATGGGCGCACACACATGTTCACAAGGGGGCACACACACATTCGCACGGGCGCACACACATGTTCACACGGGCGCACTCCCGCGGGGGTGAGAGTGCAGTGGGAGGCCCTGTGCTGGCTGACATCTGTGAGCAGAGCAGAAGGAGAATGGCCGGGCGGAACCCTCTGTGGCAGGGACAGGACATCCAGCACTGATAAGGGGGGAGGCGGCTGGTGATGATCATCACAAACCCAGGCATGCGATGAGCACGCAGAAGCAATGCCGGAAACCCTCCCTGCACATGCCCGTGGGCCATGGCATGTGTGCCCCGTGAGGCGGAAGGGCATCGTGACTATCCTACAGAAGGCAAGGGCCCAAGCTCAGCAATTAGACTCACAGCCCTTGGGGTCTCACAGCCCGTGGGGGCCTCACAGCCCGTGGGATCTCACAGCCCGTGGAGTCTCACAGCACATCGGGGTCACACAGCATGTAGGGCCTCACAGCCCATCGGGGTCTCACAGCCCGTGGGGTCTCACAGCCTGTGGGGTCTAGCTTTGTGTCTACTTGTGTAACGTGTTGTACTCAGGGTGAGCGGTGGTCAGAGCCTAGCACAGCCTGTGTGAATTTTTTTTGAGGTGCTCCAGGTGAGTCATGGATGGGAACCAGGACGGGGGGGGTGGGGGGTAGGGTGGCTTTAGGTCTTAGCTTCTGTGCCCCTCACTCCTTCAGTTTCTCACCAAAGCAAGATACAGCATACACCTCTCTCTCTCTCTCTCTCTCTCTCTCTCTCTCTCTCTCTCTCTCTCTCTCTTTCTCCCTCTCTGTCTCTCAGATCCCAGCCTTTCCCTGCATATGGGGTGGTGGCCAGCCTGGGAGCTAGTGTGAGTGAGTAGTCACTGGAGCACAGCTGTCCACTGGGCACAGCTGTTGCTGGGAAGCTGCAGCCGGAGGCTCTGGGCGGGCTACTAGTGGAAGATGGAGGCGGCTCTGGAAAAAGCCTAAGGGTCCTCTGACCAGGGCTGTCCATTGTCCACTTGCCAAGTTTGGGGTCTGGCCCGAGCCATGGAGGCCTTCTCTGGCTGTTATTGAGGAATGAACACTCCCTGCCCATCCAGCTGCAGGAAGCTGACCCCCTCCAGTGCCGCTGGCTGCAACCCACGCTGAGCTGTGCTTCCCTCCCCACCTCCCCCTCGCCCCGTGTCCTGCGGGGGCCTGACTCTCTCCTCATGGCCCACCTGCCTCCCTTCTCCGGGCCCCTGGCTTCTACATAGGATTGGCACTGAGGGCAAAAGCATAACTTGTGTGCCTCCTGCTCTGCTTGGAATTGGGTCCAGAGTTCCGGCACGGCTGACCCCACTGTGCACACCTCGCGGGCCCCTGCTCTCCGCATACACAGTGAGAAAGGGGTGATCTTTGAGGAATCCCTCAGTTCAAAATTCCCAGACTTCCAAAACCAACATTTTCTCAAACCTTTTGTCACTAAGATGAAGTGTTTGGTGTCTAGGCCTTTCTCGCTGGACACAGTGCAATTATATGAAAAGTTTAGATTTTTCTCATTAATATTCTCAATTCTCAATATTCTTGAAGCGTGCCATTTGCCTTCTGAAGTCCTGTAAGGGAGGAAAGGAAGTTAGCAGAAGCTTCCTTCACTGCAGGGCATTACTGACGAGGGTGGGGCGCAGGCGCCAAGCTCCCAGGCAGCAGCCCTGCTGACCCAGTGCATTCCCTGGGGGTAGGGGGTAGAGGGTGAGGGGTGGGGGATGTGTGTGGAAAGAGTAGGTGTGTGGGGGGGTTGGGGGGTGGGGTGGAGCGCCTGCCCCAAGGGGCCATGGCTCTTCAGGAAGCCAGGGGCCAACAGAGCCAGCTCTGCAGCCATCTGGGGATGGTGAGCAGCTACCTGAATTAAAACGCGTGGCAGAAAATGGTGCTAAATTAAAGATACAGGAAGATATTCCTTCTCTTAAATCTGTTTCCTATTTCTCCTCTCCTAAATGCTCAGTGTTCCTTCTACAGTGAGGCCACTAATAGCTGTGGCCAGACTGCGAGGTGCCAGCACAGACCACTCACGTCAGCATTGACCCTGCAATGCTGAAGGTCCCTTGTATTTTGTTCAGCATTTAACACAACACTATTCCCAGGCACCACCCTGGGGAGATGAGGACCAAGTAGGCTGCTCAGCAAGTGTCCTCTCTCGTCCTAGGGACTCACGTCCGCACCGGGTGCAGGGGAAGCGCCCCCATACCCCCACCCAGCGCGGCTGGAGCAGGTGGGCAGGCAGCACTCCCAGCCACTCCCAGCGTGGCCACCTGGCTGTCCCTCTCAGCAGGTGTCCCCGCCACCTGGGTCTGGACCCGCTGTGGCTCCAGCATGTGGGGCGCAGTCACCAGCACAGAATGCCCACTCTCTGACACACTGAACAACCTGAAGTGGGGTCCACAGGCCACGGAGAGGCCAAAACCATGACCTACGAAGCTCGTACACCGACAGTGAAAGAGACCTCCTCACTTCTTGGCTGGAGTCAGTTTCACTTTTAATAGCCTGCCAAGTGCCTGCCTCTCCCCGAGGATTACCGATGGGCCCTGGGGATGGGCCCTGGGGGAACCCAGCTCTGTGGCCCAGGCTGAGGAGCGCAGTTGGCAGAGCACCAGCGGCTGAGCCAGCTCTCCCGGCACGGAGCCTGCCAACCCCAGACAGGCTGTGGCTCCAGCAGCTGAGCTGTGGGCATCGTAGGGTCACTGCTGGCCAGCACCGAGGGCATCTGTGCACCAGGAATGACCACAGTGACCCCGTCTCTCAGAAATGCGTGAATGACCACACACTCAGCTTGCTTTGTTTTCCGAAGACTGGCCATTCCTCAAGGAAGGAATATAGGTGATTCAGGGATCAATACATGTCACTTGGAACGTTTTGCACCCACAGTGCCTCCTAATATTTATATCTCGTCACTGTCCTGTCTGCTTCTTCTTCCCGTTCTTACTGTGTTTCCAATTTCCGTGAATGGACTCTGACAAGCAAATAATTAGTATGTTCAATGGGGATCTAGGTGATGGTGGTTTACATTCGTGTTTGCTGAGACAATCTCTGGAAACTTCCACACTTGGTGCCACCCTCACTGCTCTGTTCACTGCTTTAAGGAGGCGACCCCCTACAAGGGGCGTTCCAGTAGAAGCGACAACCATCCCCAAAGGGCCGGAGCCGGCGGCTATGTCGGCGTACCTCTTGCCCGTAAAGTAATTCCCCGCACACACATCACTGCGTGTGCAGGGCCACTGCCTTCTTTGTGATGCTCAGGATTCCTCAAGTTTCTCATAATGGATAATTTTCAACCATCGGACAAAAGAAAGGCCTGTGTGTAAGGACAGGCTGGAGGCGGCCTGCGGGACTGGACACAGAGCCGCTGTGCAGGCAGACCTACTGTTCGCATGGTGGCACGGGGACACGCAGAGCACACCCACTGTTCACACCCACCGTTCACAGGGCCCACGTTACCTTACACATGTCGCAGGCTCCGACCTGGCCTTTACTCGGGCACATTTGCAAAAATAAAGCACCTAACAGAATTTTCAAAATCCGAACACCTGTGGGCTCGGTTGCCACTCCTTTATAAGAGGCGCAGGTACAACCTCTATCCCCATCTGAACCTGGCGGGCTAGGGCTGCCTTTGCGAGGCGATGCTGAAAGGCCTCCTTGACTTTCCCTCTTCAGTTTAGATCTCAGCAATGAGTTTCTGCACAATCTACCAGCACAGAGTGTGGGAATTATAATACATAAATTATAACTTATGCCAAACGTTCCAGTAGCTCTTCAGGAGTCTGGAGTTTTTAAATCAGGCCTATATGATACAGGAACACTTACATATACGATGCTGTCCATCACACATCACATCTGCATACCTGATCTTTATTTCCTCCCCTTCATGCTCATTTGGGTCGTGCCCATCTTTTCTATGGAAGTTCCAATAGATGTAATCCTTTTCATTCAGCCAAGCGGAGCAGTTGAGCTGCACATCTGTTCCTAGGAGAAGTTGACAAAGTTCTGATTTTATTTTATTTTTTTTTGTTTTTCATATGTTTTTTATTGATTTTAGAGAGAGGAAGGAAGAGAGAGATCAATGTGAGAGAGCAATATTTATCAGTTGCTTCCCATAAGCACCCTGCCCGGGGCTGGGGATAGAACCTGCAACCAGTAATGGAACCCATGACCCTTCCAGGTGTGGGCTGGTGCTCTGGCCACTGAGCAACACTGGACAGGGCCCAAGTTCTGATTTTAGAGACTTGGATTTCCCAGTTTTAACTTAGGATAATCAATATATGCTAATGGATATATAATGCTAATATAGTGCTACTTCCAGAAAGAAAACAGACATGCTTTGTTTTAAATATGAAAAAGTATATAAACCATAGCCATTAGGTATCAGTTATAACTCATCACCAAAATATGAATTGGCTTCTCTTCAAAGTTATGTTAAATAAATGATTAAAACATAGGTGGCCCTCGGCAGAAATACAGTTTCCCACCCCGGCCATAAGATAACCTCAACACATGCACAGCACAGCCCTGGCCGGATGGCTCCGTTGGTTGGAGCATCATCCCGTGCACTGAAAGGTTGTGTGTTCGATTCCTGATTAGGGCATGTACAGAAGGCAACTGATCAATGTTTCTCTTTCATATCAATGCTCCCCTCTCTCTCTCTCTCTTCTTCCCCCTCTCTCTAAAAGTCAATAAGCATATCCTCGGGCAAGGATTAAAAAATTATATACATAAAGCCAAAATTAACATAACTAAAGGATATATAGAAAAATTGGCTCTCATAGAGACTTTAACATCTCTCTCAGCAATAGTTAAAGAAAGCACACAAAAGATTAATAAGAATATAAATGACTTCCAACTTCACTTACTTGACATTGACAGAATGGTAAAACTAAAACTTGCAGATGCACATTTATTTCAAATGCACTTGAACATTCCTCAAAATACACTATATTCTGCCCAGCTGGTGTGGCTCAGTGACTGAACGTCAAGCTATAAACCAGGAGGTCACAGTTCAATTCTGGTCGGGGCACATGCCTGGGTTGTGGCTCAATCCCCAGTAGAGGGTATGCCGGAGGCAGCCATCAATGATTCTCTCTCATCACTGATTTTTTTTTTCTCTCTCTCCCGTTCTCTCTGAAATCAATTTTAAAAATATTTAAAAATACACTATATTCTGGTCCTTAAGTAGGTTACTACAAGTTTTAAAAGATTGAAATAATATGGTATATAATCTCGGATCATAATAGAACTAAATTGGACATCAATTACAGAAAAATAAGTACAAAATTGTCCAAATATTTGGACAGTAAAAAACACAAATAATCCATAGATGAAAGAAAAAATCGTAAGAGAAAGCTTTTAAAATGTTTTGAAGGAACAGCAATGAAAATCTGGTATGGAACAAGCAGGTAAAGGCATGATAAGGGAATTTAGAGCTGAAATTGCACACAGTGCAAGAGAAAGTAACTGGAAATAACTCCTTAACTCTCCATGCGGACAAATGAAAAAAGAGGTGCAAATAAAGCCCAAAATAAGGAGAAAAATAATAGACAAGTTCAAAAAAGTTGTAAAAAACAGAAAGCAGGAAAACCACAAATATAAATGGCCAAGTATCCGAGCAACATAGACTGTGTGTGTGGTAAACAGCCAGGACCAGCTGTGGCCAGAGGTGTGGGCTGCAGAAGTAGCCAGCAGCCCAGAACCGCCTGCGCCACTGTCCAGTGGCTTCCCCGGGACAAATACTTAACCTTTCAGAGCTTCAGTCGTTTCTTCCTGAAATGGAAAGACTCTCGGAGTTGCTGGAGACCTTAACTCATTAAGGTATTTCAATCACCTCACAGAAAACCTGGTTTACATTGTAAATATCTTCCTTCCTTCCTTTCTTTTCTTTTGGAGGGAGATGTTGATTCCTCCAGCCTTCTCTAGACAATTTCTGATTGTGCAGTCAATTCAGGGTTCAAATTCATTAATCAAATATGCTAATCATACGAGTCTGAATAATGTCTCTGAGCATTCTTACGGAGTTTTCATACTTAAAAACGACCATAGAGACTATTAGAGAAAAGCCACAAACATGGTGGCTAAAGCCCTCATTTGCAAACCACAGGCCTTCCCAGGCTATTCATTTTAATCAGCTAACAATGGCAACTCTCAAGCCATGACAGGCTTTGCTGCTTTCGTAATGTTCTTCCATAGATACGCAATGTGTTATGCACATAGCATTGATCAGTAACGCATCAGGTTTAGCCTTGGAAGACTCCGCTTGCCCCATTCATAAATGCAGAGTAGATAAGTACGTGAAAATATACCTAATTCCACTTCAACATGGTTAATCTTTGGTCCAAGAATAGCTGGAATTATAGTACTGCGATCTAAAAGTGAAAAAAAGAAAAGTGTGTTAGTACTGCTGCTGCACTCTCTGCCGCCAACGATGGTTATCACCTGCGTCTTCCACGCAGCACAGACTCTCAGTCATCGACCGCGGACTTCCATTTCAGTCATGTTCGCATGTCATGATGGGCAGTGACTGCGGCCTTTCGTTTCACTTCCTTAGACTCCAGAGCTCACTGGGCTGGAGGCAGCACACAGGCTTTAGCTTTCCCTCAAGTCAGGTCCTGGCCTCTGCCACTGTGCTCAGTGCAGGAGGAAGCAGCGCATTGGGGAGATGGAGCTGCAGGCAGAGAGGCCAGGCTACTGCTCCGCCTCCCCCTCCCCCGGCCCAGGGGCCTCCTCCACTCGGGGCCAGGTCCACTGGGAGAGGGGGGGCGGCAGGCACTCCCTCAGCCTTGTGCCCTGGGCCTTGCCCAGGGCCCCAGCCCTGTTAGGGTGCCTCCCCCAGGCTCAGCTCTACTTCCCCCCATCAGTGACCTCTGTCCCACCCCCCAGGTGCTCCCTTCTGTCTAGCTATTCTCAGGAAGGACACCAGCAGCCTGATAAGCACGCCTGGGACAACCTGAAGCCGCCTGTCACTGCAGAGCCCTGAGAGCCAGGGTCACACGCTGACCAGCTACAGGGTCAAGTCCTTGCTGCTCCTGTGACAGCACTGCCTGCCGCGCCAGGCTGGACCCTGGTGCCCATCTGGTGTTTGGGGGAATTTACACCTAAGTCAGGGCAGCCTTCCTGGGCCTCCAGCCGCCCAATGCTGTGGAGGCTCCCGCAGCATGGCCCTCACAGGGGCAGGGCAGGGCGGAGGTGGAGAAGGGGTGGAACAGTATGTGGGCAGGAACTGGAGAGTGAAACTAGGGCAGGGAAACCCCAGAGGTCTGGCTCCTCTGAGATTCGGGCTTGCTGGGCAGGTCTGGAATCTCCGTGGGCACAGGGAGCCGAAATGGCTCCAAAGAACTGCCACCCGGGCTGGGAATGTGAGGAGCAGGAGTCCACGCAAGGACACAGGGCGGGCAGCTCTGGGCTGTGGGAAAACGCTATGGATTCTCTTCCGCTGGACCAGTCTCTAACACATGAAGTGAGTGACTGGGAACCAGAGCAGCACTGGGTTAGTGGGACTGGTGTCAAGTGAAGGGCGAGACCCTCTTTAAGGTGCAGAAGGAAGAAAACAACCTGGGACTTGCCCTGGAAGCCTAGTCCGACTGTAATCAAAATGGCAAGGCTGCCAGCAGGAGGGCACATCACTGCTCAGCCAGGCAGCAGACAAAAACGTAGATGCCGGGTGGGAGTCGAGAGAACTGATTCAAGACAACTGTGCTCAGCACGTGGTCGCTGAGAGATCTACAGAGTAACCGGGTGCAGCGCAATCACGGCATCACACAGACCAGGTCGGAGCTCAGCCTCCCAGTGTCCTCAGTGGAGGTCAAGACACCTCCCAGCTGTTCAGCTCTAAGCTCTGCTTTTCAGAAGAATGATGGCACACCTCACCGATCCAAAGGAAAATGGCCAGGATGGATGAGTCTAGACTTGTGAAATGAGGCTCAATAATTCACCCAGCAGACACGTACTGAGCACCTACTATGCACCAAGTGCCAGGCGTCAGTGTGGGAGATGCAAGATGAAGAAGAGAACTCAGTTCGATCCCTTCTTTCCAAGAGCTTCTCAGGGACAGACATGTGACCCCAACTCTGGCAGCAACCCGAAATATGAATAAGAGGCCACAGGGACACAGAGGAGGGGAGGCATTGAGTGAGTCCTGAGAGACACAGCTGGCAGCCCCCAAGAGACACAATCAATGCGATGGGTAGTTAAGGCAGGAGAGCAGCATGTGTAGTGGTGGGTGGGGAGTGGGACACCAGAGGTGGTAATGACAACAGCGAATTCCCTGTGCTTGGCACCATTCTCACTGCCTCACTCACAACCCTCCGTCCTCGGAGCAGCCCAGAGGGAGGAACCCGCACCACCCTGTTGACTATGAGGCATCTGAGGCACAAACTACTAATTTAATTCACCCAAGGCCACAGCTCGCAGGGCTGCTGGGAGGAGTCCATGAGATGATTCCATTAAAGCATCCGGTACAGTGTCTGGCCGGCAGTAAGTGCTCTTTTGATCATGAATATCCTTAATCCTCCCAAGGCAGAATAAGAGAGGAGCTGGTGGGTGAGACGCGGGATGTGTGGGTGAGAGTGTTGGTGGTGGAAGTGTCAAAGTACCAGAGATGTATATGAGATTAAAGAATATATATGGGAAAGCAAAACTGAAGGATTTAGGGGACACAGAGAATTTAAGATACCTGAGTTTCAGAGTTTAGTTATGGGATTCCCAGCTACAGGGTGTGGCAGGCAGAATAATGCCCCTCCAAACAGCTGTTCACACCCTACTCCCCAGATCCTGTGAATATTAGACCTCACACGGCAAAGTGACGTGCAATGTGACTAAATTGAGGAATTTCACCTGAGGACAGTGTCCTGGGTCCTCCGGGTGAGCCCGGTGTTATTACAGGAGCCTCATGACAAAGAAGTGCGTCAGGAAAGGAAGTGCGAGAGTTGGGAGCAAAGGTTAGGGAGAGATTTGAAGATGGTCCATTTTTGGCTTTGAAGATGGAGGAGGTGAGGGCACAGGTGGGAGATGGAGGAAGCAGGAGGTGAGGCATAGGTGGGAGATGGAGGAGGCAGGAGGTGAGGCACAGGTGGGAGATGGAGGAGGGGAGGGCAGAGGTGGGAGATGGAGGAGGGGAGGGCAGAGGTGGGAGATGGAGGAGGGGAGGGCAGAGGTGGGAGATGGAGGAGGGGAGGGCAGAGGTGGGAGATGGAGGAGGGGAGGGCAGAGGTGGGAGATGGAGGAGGGGAGGGCAGAGGTGGGAGATGGAGGAGGGGAGGGCAGAGGTGGGAGATGGAGGAGGGGAGGGCAGAGGTGGGAGATGGAGGAGGGGAGGGCAGAGGTGGGAGATGGAGGAGGGGAGGGCAGAGGTGGGAGATGGAGGAGGGGAGGGCAGAGGTGGGAGATGGAGGAGGGGAGGGCAGAGGTGGGAGATGGAGGAGGGGAGGGCACAGGTGGGAGGGGGAGGAGGCAGGAGGGGAGGCACAGGTGGGACATGGAGGAAGTGAGGGCACAGGTGGGACATGGAAGAGGCAGGAGGTGACAGCACAGGTGGGCGATGGAGGAGGCAGGAGGTGAGGCACAGGTGGGACATGGAGGAAGTGATGGCACAGGTGGGAGCTGGAGGAGGCAGGAGGTCAGGGCACAGGGGGGAGCCTCCATGGAGGAGGGGAGGGCACAGGTGGGAGATGGAGGAGGCAGGACGTGAGGGCACAGGTGGGAGATGGAGGAGGCAGGAGGTGACAGCACAGGTGGGAGATGGAGGAGGTGAGGGCACTGGTGGAACATGGAGGAGGCAGGAGGTGAGGGCATAGGTGGGACATGGAGGAGGTAAGGGCACAGGTGGGACATGGAGGAGGCAGGAGGTGAGGGCACAGGTAGGAGATGGAGGAGGCAGGAGGTGACAGCACAGGTGGGAGATGGAGGAGGCAGGAGGGGAGGGCACAGGGGGGAGGTGGAGGAGGCAGGAGGTGAGGGCACAGGTAGGAGATGGAGGAGGCAGGAGGTGACAGCACAGGTGGGAGATGGAGGAGGCAGGAGGGGAGGGCACAGGGGGGAGGTGGAGGAGGCAGGAGGTGAGGGCACAGGTGGTAGATGGAGGAGGCAGGAGGTAAGGGCACAGGTGTGAGATGGAGGAGGCAGGGGGTGAGGCACAGGTGGTAGATGGAGGAGGCAGGAGGTGAGGCACAGGTGGGAGATGGAGGAGGCAGGAGGTGACAGCACAGGTGGGAGATGGAGGAGGTGAGGGCACAGGTGGGACATGGAGGAGGTGAGGCACAGGTGGGAGATGGAGGAGGCAGGAGGTGACAGCACAGGTGGGAGATGGAGGAGGTGAGGGCACAGGTGGGACATGGAGGAGGTGAGGCACAGGTGGGAGATGGAGGAGGCAGGAGGTGACAGCACAGGTGGGAGATGGAGGAGGTGAGGGCACAGGTGGGACATGGAGGAGGTGAGGCACAGGTGGGAGATGGAGGAGGCAGGAGGTGACAGCACAGGTGGGAGATGGAGGAGGTGAGGGCACAGGTGGGACATGGAGGAGGTGAGGCACAGGTGGGAGATGGAGGAGGCAGGAGGTGACAGCACAGGTGGGAGATGGAGGAGGTGAGGGCACAGGTGGGACATGGAGGAGGTGAGGCACAGGTGGGAGATGGAGGAGGCAGGAGGTGACAGCACAGGTGGGAGATGGAGGAGGTGAGGGCACAGGTGGGACATGGAGGAGGTGAGGCACAGGTGGGAGATGGAGGAGGCAGGAGGTGACAGCACAGGTGGGAGATGGAGGAGGTGAGGGCACAGGTGGGACATGGAGGAGGTGAGGCACAGGTGGGAGATGGAGGAGGCAGGAGGTGACAGCACAGGTGGGAGATGGAGGAGGTGAGGGCACAGGTGGGACATGGAGGAGGTGAGGCACAGGTGGGAGATGGAGGAGGCAGGAGGTGACAGCACAGGTGGGAGATGGAGGAGGTGAGGGCACAGGTGGGACATGGAGGAGGTGAGGCACAGGTGGGAGATGGAGGAGGCAGGAGGTGACAGCACAGGTGGGAGATGGAGGAGGTGAGGGCACAGGTGGGACATGGAGGAGGTGAGGCACAGGTGGGAGATGGAGGAGGCAGGAGGTGACAGCACAGGTGGGAGATGGAGGAGGTGAGGGCACAGGTGGGACATGGAGGAGGTGAGGCACAGGTGGGAGATGGAGGAGGCAGGAGGTGACAGCACAGGTGGGAGATGGAGGAGGTGAGGGCACAGGTGGGACATGGAGGAGGTGAGGCACAGGTGGGAGATGGAGGAGGCAGGAGGTGACAGCACAGGTGGGAGATGGAGGAGGTGAGGGCACAGGTGGGACATGGAGGAGGTGAGGCACAGGTGGGAGATGGAGGAGGCAGGAGGTGAGGCACAGGTAGGAGATGGAGGAGGCAGGAGGTGAGGGCACAGGTGGGAAATGGAGGAGGCAGGGAGTGAGCGCACAGGTAGGAGATGGAGGAGGCATGAGGTGACGGCACAGGTGGGATATGGAGGAGGTGAGGGCACAGGTGGGAGAGGGAGGAGGCAGGAGGGGAGGCACAGGGGGGAGATGGAGGAGGGGAGGGCACAGGTGGGCGATGGAGGAGGCAGGGAGTGAGCGCACAGGTAGGAGATGGAGGAGGCACGAGGTGACGGCACAGGTGGGAGAGGGAGGAGGCAGGAGGGGAGGCACAGGGGGGAGATGGAGGAGGCAGGAGGTGAGGGCACAGCTGCTTTTATAAACTGGAAAATGCAGGGAAACCTACTTCTCCCAGGGCCTCCTGCAGGAACGCAGTCCTGCTCAGACCTTGATTTTATCCCAGGCAAACCATGTGAGACTCCTGACCTTCAGAACCATTAGGTAAGTAATTTCTGTTGTTAGAGGACTGTAAGCGTGTGGCAGTTTAGCGGTGAGCAATGTAGGGGGTCCAGCTATGTTAGTGGATAGTTAACAAGACGAGGAAAATGTGGCCGGAGCCCCGCAGCTCTGGGTGGAGTGAGCCCTGGCTGCTGGGCAGGGCATCACAGGAGTCTACAGAGGCAGGGAGAGCGTCGGGGAAACACGTTAGGGGCCAGAGCATCTGTGTCACTGAGGAGCGGCTTCAGGAGGCGTGTTGGACTCAGTGGGGAAAATGACTCTCAACAACCTGGGCCTCTGTGACCTGGAGATGTCCATGGTCATTCCCCACATACAACTGGATGAGCCGACCCGGGCCATGGGGAGGATAGCTCCCCTGGGAAAGGTTCAGTGAAGTTACCTCTGAGGCCTCCATCCCTCAAAACCCAGGCCTTAGTTTTTCCACTATATACAATCTGGGTCCATGGTAAAGCAGAAGTGCCCCTCCGGCCCCAGGCCTGGCTCCTGGCGTCCTCTCCTCAAGCTCCTGGCCCACATGCCTCCTGCCGCCCTCCGCCAGCGCCTGGGCAGGACACAGTCCCCTTCGCCTGTCTCCACTCTGCACTCCCTCCACCTCCCAGGTGACTCCAGGCCCATGAGCAGGTGACCCTGAGCAATGCAGGTCTGAACTGCATGGAAAAGCCACTTATATGCAGACCTTTTCACTGAATACAGCAAATGTACTTCCTCTTCCTTAAGATTTTCTTAATAACATTTTCCTCTAGCTTAATTAAGTGTAAGAACACAGAACACGATGCACATAACAAACAAAATATGTGCGATAAGTCAGGCTTCTCACCAAGACCTGTTGGTAGTTGAGTTTTGGGAAAACCAAAGGTTCTACCCAGGTTTTGGACTGTCGGGCGGATCGGCACCCTTCACCCCTGCGCGTAGCTCTGTGTGGCTCATCACCTCTCCTGACAGCAATCGGTTTCTTGAGGAGAGTATGTTACTCACTTCATTTCCTATTTCCCTGCCCTCGCCCTCTCCCAGTGCTCAGAGGTTACTAAATACAGCATCCTCAATAAATATTTGTTAAGGGAAAACATATGCTTAACAATAAAAGACCCCACAATTTATTCAAATACCAAATAAGGGAGCTGACTCAGGGAGGGTCACCTTTATGAACTTTAACTACCACCCCCAGAATCTCAGACACAGTGACAAAGCCCTGGGCTGGGGGCCTTCTATTTGAATGAGTGGTGTGGCCCCAACGCCCACTAGGTTGCTTCTGGATTCCTGTACTGCCTTAGAAGAAAAAATATTTTATTTTGCTAAGATACACTTGTTTCTCCCCAATCTAAAATTTCTCTTACCTTCAACTATTGTTATATTGTAGGTGCTGGTGACATTAAATAGTTTTCCATTGTGATGAAGGAAAAACATGCAGGTGTAATATCCCTGGTCTTTAAACTCTGCATTCTTCTTTAAAGATGGGTTTTTATTGTTCTCTATCTTTTCACAGTTCTGTTTTTAAAAAGCATGTTAAAATATTTTAGGTAAAAGCAACGTTATAAGAATTCAAAATTTTACATAATTCTATTTCACGACAGGGGGAGGGGCATGGGGGCGAGTGACTCAGGGCTGAGCACCTAGCAGGGACCCCTTTGAGGTCCTGCGCCAGGAGACAGTGGCCTGATTAGAAATGCATGGAGAATATTCAAGTCCAAGGACACACACACACACACACACACACACACACACACACACCTCTGCATCGCACACTTCCATCTGTGGCAGAGGGATTAACAATAAGAACGCCACCTTTGCAGTCCTCTTCACTCATGGGTAGGTTATAAAGCGAGCTCAGAACCAGATGGGAAAACAGGAACTAAACTGCTAATTCTGACTGTGTGCCCATCCCCGCACGCTCCTCTCTCAAAGCGGCCAAGCTGGTGGCACCTGGCAGAGGGCTCAGCGTGGGCTTGGGAGGCACCCACATGGCCTCACTGCAGGGGTTGCTTCTATAGACACCGAATGTTTAAACTCACACTGATTTACCCCAGCCATGTTGAAAAATCAGACTCCATTTTTCCAATCAGTTGTTTACTGATTCAGCGTCCTCGCTCCCCTCCCTCAAGTAGGTCAGGGTCTGTAAACAGGCTGTGAACTGAGCCTGAGGTCAGCCTCCAGCTAAGAGCACCCTCCAGCTCCACCCTCTAAGCGGACTGAGTGTGGGGCTTGCTTAGGCCCGCACGCCGAGCCTCCCGTGTCATGGGCTGCAGACATCTGCACGTTTGACAGGAAATGGGGTCAAGTCAACTGCAGACTGGCTCCGACATTTAGAAAACACTTTGCATAAGAGCTGCCCTTGAAAAACACAAGTAAACAGTGTTCATGCAAAAGGAACAAACAAACATTCCTAGGAAATCGGTTTCATCTTTCCCAAGGTCCTCTGTTCAGACCACCCTCTCTCAGCTCTGCTACGCAACCACGGCCTTCAGGCTTGTGCTTCTACAGAAATGATATAATTTGCGTTGTGTATGTGCATGCATGTTATTTATGTATGTGTGCATGTTGTACTTGCATACATGTGAGTGTACAAATGCATGTGTATATGTAATATACATGTGAGTGTATACAAATCTATATAATAATCTCTATAGTATTGTCTGAAAGAGCTCTTATAACTTAACAGGTAAAAGGTACACTAACTAAAGAAAATAGACAAAGAAAGTAGACAATCCACAAAAGAAATAATACAAAGATGCAATTAATACACAAATTTAATTTGTTATTAAGAAGAGTGGGGGGCTACTCAGAGCTGCAGAAGGCTGGCATGTCAGTGGTTTAAAGGTCCCTGAGCAGCCCATCAGGGTGGTAACCTGGCCCCTGGCACGGAGTTTGATGTGTGTCGAAAGGCACACACCTGCTCTTAGCCTCTGATCCAAAAACTCGACGGTTTTTGGTCAGAGGATAAAGTCATATAGATACTCGGAGACTTATAGGAATAATATTTGTTTTAGTCTTAGTAATAATAATGCCAAGTAGAAACTAACAAATGTCCATAACAGGGGATTAGTCAGGTACAAGGACATGCATATGGAATCTCATGTTGGAAGGATGTTTAAAGATATGGAAGAATAGCCATAATATAATTTTTTAGTGAATAAAGAAAAAATACAAGCCATTAAAAATACCACTTTTAAAAAAAGATGTTTACACAGGAAAATATGTCTCTGACTGATGGGATTATGAGTTATTTCTGCTACCTTCCTATTCATTTCTCTACCTTTCAATTTTATAAAATGAAATTATATAATCAGAAAAATGTGTATATAATAGAATTTAAAATTTTAAGTATATGTAGCAGAGGAAAATAAAAATCTTTAAACTAATATTTCTAACAAATAATTTATTGAAAAAGAAGACAAACTAGTAAAGGACAAGAGAGAGGAAGCCTTGTCATTTACTGAACCTGTCTCAGGCAGGAGCGGTGCCCCTGCCTCATGTATAGGCGCTCATCACAGCAGCCCTGGGGCCCCTCACCCTGGGCCTGCGGTCACACAGCCCACATGTCCGGAGAACAGCGTGCTCCACATCCGCCAGACCCTCATTTTGGAGTTCTGTCTTTCCTACCAAGCCTGAAGTTAGAACATGTTGACTGCGTTACCTTATACAGTGCCGTTCTGTGGACCAGGTCGTGATAGTAACTATGACTACAGTCCACCTGCAAAGCCGTTCCAACTTCCACAGTTTTACTAGTTACTTGTTTTTCAGTAAAACAGCTGTGTTTACTTCTTCTGATGACATTCAGTTTCCAATCATAAGTATGATTTCTATGAAATAAAGGTTTAAAGATATTTTATAATTAGTACAGGGACTTTGCAAATACCATCATTGAGTAATCAATGCAACAACATTTTTTTCCCTATTTTTGTATAAAGAGACTCATTTACTGTTGCCCAAACTCTTCTCTGCCTCTTTCAGGCTCAGCGTAGCAAGAAACTTAACTGTCATGGGATGGGGGTAGACGGTGGGGAAAAGATAAACCTGAGCAGGCCCTGAAGCACACACACGTGTGCACACACACGTGTGCACACACACGTGTGCACACACACGTGTGCACACACACGCGTGCACACACACACACACAAAGCCCACTGCAGACCAGAAATGTTTAAAACATCAAAGATTTTGGCGATAAACAAGTTCAGGAATTCTTAACCCAAGGCAGGAGGGCGGCGCTGGCCTCCCGGGGCCGAAACATGCTTCCGGAATGTCTGCATTTCTCGGGCCGCTTAGCCAATGCTTTTCTCTTACTGTTGGTTGCCCTCGCGTATCCCATTAGCACTTTTGTGCCTCACTGAGCAGAGTTTATTTGAATAGATATTGTTGTTCCTTCTGATTAGAAATTAGAAATCTAAAAGAAAGAAATTTTGCAATGTTTTTAAAAGACAACGGTTTGCAATGTAATGTTTGCTTAAACTGCGCAAGCAGTATGTACTGTCCTATACCAGACCCAGCAGGTGCCCTGTGTGTGTGAACACAGACAGTCTGCCCGAGGAGGCACTCCCAGCTCCCCTGGAGTCTCCATGAATGGAACCACTGGCACCCCTGGGTCCAGCGGCTGCACTGGCGGCGGGATGACTGTTGCCTTAGGTAAGTGAGAAAGCTGACCTTCAGGCGAAGGTAAACAACTCCCATGTCACAGGCCTGGGAGGCATCGCCAGGATGCACACCAATCTATTTTGGTCCTAACAGCCAGGAGTGTTTTGGAAAAGACTATGTTATGACAATCAGTGTGAATTTATACAGGATCCGCTGGGCTGGGAGCCAGGGCGTGGGGCAGGCCTTCCTCATCCTCGGGGTACAGGAGGGTCAGCGGCCATAACACAGTGTGGAGCAGCTGCGCCTTTCCCCAGGCATGGCTGCGTGCTCCCTGCTGGGCCGGCCCTGGGCAGGCCTGTTTAAAGGATCTCTCTGGGAAGCTGATGACACCCGGTCAGGCTGTTTCCTGCTCTGCAGCCTCGGTCGCTATCACTCAGCAAGCACCACCCCCTAACCGCTGCCCTGCACCCAGGTGCCCAGTGCTGAAACAAGGGGCGCCCTGTGCCTCGATGAGCTCCCAGGGGGGCATGTAGCTGAGCCCTGTCAGGGCTGGTCATCCTGGTGCGAGAACCACCCCTGGCGACACAGAAGCCCTGGAAGAGACCAGCCCACCACTGCTCGGCCTGCGCCTGATCTGCAGGTGCTGTTCTCTCCGCCTTCACGTCTTTACCTCTAAGATCAAGGACGCTCCTGATCCCTCCCTTCTCAGTGGATTTCCTCCTTAAAATTTGATCTGACCCAGTGACTGTTGCTGCAGGAGCGGAGTATCCATCTCCAGAGGAATGTGATCACTAGCCATCGTTTCCTGAAAATTCCAGGGCTGCAGTTCTAAGGGGACAAGCCAGGAGTAAGGTCTGCTCGGACAAGTCCCACAGGAGACCCAAGCCTCACTCACTACAAGGTGCCCACTGCCCGTGTGCACACACATCAGTTGTAACACCTTCAGAAAGTCTGTATCTTCAAGGTTCCCACTGACTTTCAAAGCCATTGTCAAGCCTGCTCTTTCCACCATCGCTTAGTCTCATCTCACTCACCAGCCTCCACGCCCCTCAGAGTTTAGCACCACAGCCCGTGAGCACCTGGGCTCCCGTCGCCTGGCCTTCTGGTCCCGCACCCCTCTCTGCCATCCGACCTCTGATGATCCCACTTCCCTCCCTAATGCAGGCTGTGTTCCACCTTCCGTGTTGGGGACAGGCCATGCCCTCTGTCCCTGTCTGTCTGCGAGTGGCGCTGGGGGAGGCGGGACCCTCCGCGTGCTCTCTCTGCCCTGTTCATTTCCATGCTGCCTTCATTCCCCAGGCTCAGGAGCAGTGCTTCTCGCCCTGATGGCCAGTGTTCACTCTAGTTACTGTGAAAAGACCAGCTGTGACTCATTTCTGGAATCATCTCTCCTAAAAGGTCACATACAATTCACTCGTTAAAAAACAAGAGTTCTTGAACTTCTTTCTGACTGGTGTCTGTAAGTAAAAACAAACCCAATGACCTCACTTCCAGAAAACCGCAGCGTGGCGCTAGGTTGCACTGGGACATCTCACTCTGCCTTCACCACGCGCTTGCGAGCAGGACTCACTCCAGGTGCTGGTGACAGTGGCACCCTCCCCACCCCGTGCCGAGCTGTTTCCTCTAGGCCGGTCTCAGAGCTCTATAAAGTACATGCACACATAGATACCTCGGTACACGCATAAGATCGTCACAGCAACTGATACCCACGCACCTCCATGTCCTCACCAGCGCCCACCGCGGAGCATGCCTTCTCCAGGCCGGCCCCTCCCACCTCACCAAACAAAGGATAAAGAGCGAGCTCTGCAGTTGGCATGCTCAGCCGGTTCCCTCCCTTCCTAGACACGTTCCTACTGAGGGCGTCCGCACTTGGTGCCAGGAGAAGGCTGTGCCAGGCCCTTCGGTGCGCCACTCCCCCGGCCCTGGGCAGAGCTGTGCCATCGGCTGCCATGCACAACTCCTCCACGCACTGCCGCCGCCGGCCCTCAGCAAACACCTGAGAACTAGACCAGGGTGTATCTATGCCTGTCACCCCGCAGCCTGCGCACACTTCCAGGGGCGGGCACTGCCCCTGTTCACTCTCACAACATCTGAGCCCAGCCACGCGTTACCCTGACCAGCAGCTCTAGCCAGCAGGCCCGGCTGAATCTGAGAACAAATGCCACCCAGCCTTCACTTAGGCAAGAATACCCTAAAAGGGAACCATGCTAAGGGAATCTTTCATCGTCTTCATTTCATTAAGACCACTAGGAACATAAACACAGGGGCAACATTTAGTTTACTTTTTCAATAATGAAGCATTTATTTCTTATTGCAGGAAGAGTAGGGGAGACTAAATGCTCGGCCTGCCTGACCTTTCAGATTACAGTGCATTTCATTTGCTGAACCAAGTCCTGGAGCGCCGCGCACACACTAACAGAGGGAAAGGGTACTCACCCCCTCTGGAAAACGTAAGATCCACTGTCATCCAGCTCAATGGGCCAAAACTCCAGGACATAATCGTGCAAAGTAATTCTGGGTGAACTGCTCAAGCGTAGCTCAACCTTTTCATCTGACTCATTGGTTTTGAACCATTTTGTGGTGCTTGGTTCATGCACAGGAGAAAGTGGGCAATATTTCAAAAAGAAAGGTTCTCCTTCAACGGCATTAATATGACGACGTGAAGTACAGGTTTCTTCAAAAAATTAGCAAAATAAAAGGAAAAAACAAAAATCAACCAATAAATCATAAATTACCGAAACAACAGGTTTACCTTTATCTCACTTCCGGCCTCCCTTCCTACGGGCCCCCTTCAACGGCATTAATATGACGACGTGAAGTACAGGTTTCTTCAAAAAATTAGCAAAATAAAAGGAAAAAATCAAACACATGATGACATAGCTAATTTCCCAACACAGAGGCATTCCCAGAACATAAGTGAGGGCAGAGCTTCCAACGGGTCCTCCCAAAGAGGAGGGCAGCGCCTGGCCCCCACCCCAGGAGGCAGGCACATGCAGAGCAATCTTGTAAAAGAAGGTGTTGCACAGGACAGCTTCCTCACACGGAAGCCACAGAAGACACAGGGTTGCCACACCTTCCCGAAAACATCTTAGTGAGGAGCCTCCATGGAGAAGACGCCAGAAACCAGGCTTCAGAGGGGCTTCTGCACGCAGCCAGTCCACTCAGCCAGCCACTGCCCGGTAGGCGCGGAGGTGGGCACAGATGCTGCATCCCACGTCCTGAGAGGTGGCCGGTTCAATTCCTAGTCAGGCACATGCCCAGGTTGCAGGCTCAATTCCCAGTAGGGGGCGTGCAGGAGGCAGCCCATAGAAGTTCCCTTCTCATGTGGATGATTCTCTCCCTCTCCTTTCCTCTCTTTCTAAAAATCAATTTAAAATCTTACTTTAAAGTCAACAAGCAGTCACTGCTAATAAATTAAAATTGGTATTCGACACCTGCCATAACGCTTCCTTGAGTTCCCTGGGCTAAGACGTGTCTTTCATATATACTAGTAGTTGCTCTGACACGAATATTTTCCTTAATATTTGTAAGGTATTCCCAGGAACATCCTGTGTTCTCTAATTATGAAATGGATCTTTGCCTTCATTTTGGGAAGGAGATAACTTGTGTAAAATGTTCTAAAAGTCAGTAAAAAAGTCATCTGTGACATTCAGTTTCAAACAACATGAAGCAGATTTTCATCCAGACAAATGTAATTTATTTCAGGATGCAAGGTTCCACACCTGCTCTCTCTACATAAACTCGGGGCCACCTTTTCCTCTTTCCAATAAACCCATATAGCTCTTTATTTGATCCCACTCCTGTGGCTTTTTAGTTTCTGTGCCAGAGACACCAAAACATTAGGCAACTATCTAAATTTAAAATCACTGGCTAATTTTAATAAATTCAGCATCTTCTATAGCCGCCTCCTAAAACCAGCAGCAAAACTTTGCTATGACTTACCTGAGGTGCCCCTAAGCATAAGCACCAAAAGCGTCAGGGACAGTTGTCCCAGATGCATGTTTTAGGGTTCTGCTTCAAAAGGTTTTCCTGGAAAACAGAGAAGTCAGGTTCAGTTAGAACTTTCACATAAAAACGTACCTGTCTTACGAAGAAGGTTTTAAAATACCTTCTGGCACACAAAATTTTAAAAATGGATCCAGAAAATTTTCATAGACCTTCATCTAGTCACCAAGTCTTCTTGGAACTTTCAGGAAGTAGAATTAATGAAATTTTAGTGCAATGAAGTTTGGCATCCTGAAGAAAGCCCTGGTAATACAATTTTCTAATACAGAGAGCCTCGTGTGTTTTGGGCTTGGTCTACTAAATCCTGCCTCCAAGAACAAAGTTGAGAACAACTGTATTTATAGAAAATCTGCTATTCTATGAACGCAGTCTGTGATTACTGAAATACGTTTGACATCCTGCCCCTGTAGGAATGTGTGTGTGTGTGTGTGTGTGTGTGTGTTCCAGTTGTTTTTTTTTTTTTCTCTCATCTATCGTCTTGCTTCAGAACACAAGTTGCAGAAGTTAGGAACTAAGTCTACTTTACGTAACTGACTCCCTGAAGTCCAGCACAATGCTTAGCACATATTAAGCATTCATCAATAGTCATTAATGAGAAATAGGTGTACGGATGTGTGTGCCTGTTTCTGCACTCATATGCCCATATGTGTTTATTTTAGGAAAATGGAGAGACAAAGTGGGAACTGCATACATTCCAGACAAAAACAGACTCAAAGAACTCAAATCTGAGTTGACTTTTGCTCTTACTCTAACCCAAGTTTTGTCCTACTAATTACAAATTTAGAGGTAGAATAGGTAGGAAGGGTGCGTTGGGGCTCCTATACCAGGTCTGAGTTTTTCATAAACAATCCCATGTTTCTTTTATTTTAAAAAATGTATTTTTTTATTGATTTCAGAGAAAGGGGGAAGGAAAGAGAGATAGAAACATCAATGATGGAAATCACTGATTTGCTGTCTCCTCCACACCCCCTATTGGGATCAAGCCCACAACCCGGGCATGTGCCCTGACTGGGAATCGAACCGTGACCTCCTGGTTCATAGTTTGATGCTCAACCACTGAGCCACACCAGCCAGCAATCCCATGTTTCTTTTATACCAGACACCTCCCTTTGAGGAAGCGCAGCATCATGGGAAGGGCTTGGTCTCTGGGCATATAACAAACAGTGCAACCTTGGGCAAGTTACTTAAAAGTCTGAGTCTGTTTGCTCATTCCAAAATGGAGTTGGTAAGAATGCCTGTCTCCAAAATTACTGAGCAATCAAAGAGCTAATGTTTACGAAGACTTCCTGGGTTGGGTGCATGAAGCCTCTCAGCCCAAAGTAATTCTCTCACCAGCTACAACTCGCCTCGCACACTAAACAACACAAAACTAAAACACACACCACCACCACCACCACCACCACCCGCTAATGCCCAAATCCTGGATAAAATGTAATGGCTAAGCTGCCAAACCATTTACATCAATCTTTATGAATAAATCACCAAGCATTTGATGTCATTTCCAAGAGATAATAATCAATAATGTAAAGACAAAAGGGAAAAGGATGTATGGAAAGTACCAACTGTACATAATGAAATTAGAATATTTCTATGGCTTGAAATAAGCCCCTCCCCCCACACACGCACATGTTTTGTTATTATCTATTCTCTTATCTAGGGTAGAATGAAAAGTGCTGTTTCCTCTGGTTAAGGTTGACACTGCCTATGAAGAGCACTGCTGTTTTCTTGGTTTGTGGTTTTTTAAATTTTCAAGGTCTACTAAGAGATGAAGTTATTATGAGATAACTCATCATTCTGATGACTTAACTCAGTTTCGATTTGAAACATGTTAAGATTCCAGTATATAAATTAGTTGGTATTTGCCCTGCTCTATGTCTGTGTATATATAAAATTACTAATGTACTTATTGCGGATTTAAAAGATTAAGATATTAAATTATAAAATTTAACTTCTAAAAGAAAAGTTATTCTGAAAAATATCATAGATAAAAGTTATAAAATATATGTAAGAGGATATAAGTATTAAATTTCTTGCATGTGGGAATTCTGGAGATTTTTTTAGTGCTATGTTTGATATTGATATTATTTATTGCCTTTACATAATTTTAAAATTTCTTCCTTCTTTTCTTTCTTTTTAAAAATGTTTCTAATTTCTAAAGTAATATATGCCAATAAAAGGACATGTATAAAATGAAGATTGAAAAGCAGAAAATAATATCAACATGTCTAATACTGTATTTAGCCTGTTTTGTTGTACTTTATATATTTTCAAATAATTAAGATGACCTTTAAATAATTTCCTATCTTGCATTTTCCTCCGTGGCAGAAATCTTTGTCAACACCGTTTTAATTGTCACAGCAAATTCTTTCATATGGATAAGTTATGCTTTACAGCATGTGTTTTATGATAAAATGGCCCATAGCCATGTTCCCATGTAAGGCAGTTGGATCAGGTTCTGAAGCATGGCCTGTGCTGCCAGCCGGGCTGGATTTACATCCTCACTCTCCTCATTTTTAGCTGAATGGTGCCGAACAAGTTACCCTCGCGGTTCTTCACTTTATCTAGCCATGAAAGGGAATAGCAATCCCACTGCCTAGGGCTGGTGAGAAGGTTACACAAATTGCTATTACAAAATATCTGGTGAATAATAAATATCACTTACAGGTTAGCTATTATTATTTATCTATAGTTCTTACTTTCTTGGTGTCACTATATGGCAGTACAAAGAATACATTTTAAACATGGTAAATGCATACAGCATTCCAGAAATGCAGTAATAATTCATTATTCGCCTACCACACCCAAGTAAGCACTGAACGTTCTCATCTTCAATTAGGTACTCAAATTAGTACAAAGTATCTCATTTTTTTTATATGCGTTTCTATTGGTATAAAGAAAGCAAAATATTAGTCATGCCTTTTGTAGCTAGTTTTCTATGTTTATGAACTGTCTTTTTATGCCTTTTGTCCATTTTTAGATGCTTAGTGTTTTCTACAACCTGTTGTTCGATTTACCTTTTAATGCCTCTTTTGATGCTTTAACATCTGGAAGCGTTTATATTTGTGCAGCCCACCTGTTTTGCCTTTGCTTTGTGATTTTTCCATTGCTACTTTATCATTTAGAACATTCCTTTCCCCTCAGGGGTCAAATATGTACTTACCTGTATTTTCTTTATTTGTTTGGTATGCAGATGGGGTCAACTTCACTTCTTTTTCCCAAGTAGCTACTCAGGACTTCTGTATGGGATTCGCAGTCCCGTGGTCCCTTACAGCGGCCGCCCCGACACCCAGGCACAGCCAGCTCCGCACTCTGCTCCCTGGGCCTCCCTCCCCCGCCCCCCTCGCCGGGTTTGTGATTTATAGCACTGTTCACTGACAGATCATTGTATGTCTGCTCCCTTATTTGTTTGCTGAATTAATGAAGGCATTGAATTAATGAAGGCAGAATATAGCTTTGGGGAGTCTACCCATAGCTGAGCATCTGACCCATTGTTGCATCTGCCTGTGAAATGCTTCTTAACCCTGACACCTTGAAACGTGTGTTTTACGTGAGATCTAGTGCCCTCACTCTCACTCAGAGTGAGGAAAAATATGCCTGGGCTCCACATGCATGTCCATTACTACCTTATGCTCCCGGCCTCCACCGCTTACCATTCATGCGTGTGTGAGTGTGTGCATACACACATACACATATACTTATATCCGAACCTTCACATGTGATGTATAGAGTTACTATATACTATAATGCATATTATATAACAGTGTTGTTTTCGAGGTTAAAGCATTCCCACTTTTTTTCTGAAAAGTGAAAACAGCTAAAGTAGGTGAGAGTTTCCGTTCATTAAGCGCTCATTTGTGTCCAACCCGTGAAAACATGCAGGTGGTTCTCTTGCCCACTCTCCCACAGGCCGAATGCAGGAGGCGCTGCCCAGGGCACAGAGAGGCGCGCGCTTACCCAAGGGCATCAGCTACAGACCCAGGTCCGCATCCGGATTCCTGCTTCCCACCCTTTCCCTTCCACCTCCGGTCTGGGAGGAGACCTCCTGCAGGCTGCACCCCAGTTATCAGAAAGGTCAGGGCTGGCAGCCGCCGCAGAGGGACACCCTTCCCCTGATCCCTTCTTAAAAGGAATTTTGTTTTCAGAAAACCTGCCCAGCAGGGACGGAGGGCGCTGGGGAGGGCACAGCCGCTGGCGCGGTCCTTACCTCCAGGAGTTGGAGGCGGCGGGGCAGCGTCCCCCTCCACCCGGGCAGGGGGCAGGGCTCAGGCGGCAGGTGGGAGCGCGGGCTGCCCCAGCTCCAGAAGCAAGGAGCAGGGCAGAGGATCCCCGAGTGTGGGGAAACTGGAGAGTCCAACGGAGAGAAGGGACAGAAAATTGGAAGAAAGAAAAGCCGCCGCTGAGTGGGCGGGCGGAGGCGCGGGGTGGGGGACGCTGGCGGGCAGCGGCGCTGCTCCGGTCCGGCGGCGCTGGCCAGGTGCCGGCGGGCCTCTCCAGGGCGGCGACAGGTGGCGGGTCCCTGGAGCTCTGGGCCGTG